AAAAAAAAAAAAAAAAAGGCCTGAGAGGGATTAGTGCCTTAGCCATTGGGAGCTACAGCAACTCTGACTGGTCCAAGGAATTGAAAAAATAATGGGAAGATAGAACAGGAGGCAAGAGAATGAGAAATTACTGAGGAAGAGGGCCTCGAAGTGGGCCACGAGGGGGAACTGGAGGCCGGGGGGTGGGGCGGGGTGGAGGGAGGGGCCCCCGCTGGTAGCCATAGGGTGGGGGTCGTGGAGGCCCAGTGTATCCATGAGGAGGCATCAGTGGAGGAGGTCCACGCATCCCATGTGGAGGCATAGGACCTGGGTGACCTGCACAAAGAAAAAGAAAAGTCAGTCAAGGCAAGAAAAAGGAAGTGCTGATGTTGGGCGAATGTATGGAGAACACCGACAGGGAGACCATGAGCAGGAATGGAAATAAAAGAAAGGGCAGGGGATGGGGCTGTGACAAAGGAAGCTGCAAGACTATGATACTCGAGGATGAGGAAGGTGGCTAGAGCCTACTTACCCATGGGAGATCCAAACGGAGGCCCTCGAGGGGGCATGCCCATCGGAGGAGGTCCAGGATGAGGCATTCCGGGTGGCGGTCGGGGTGGTGGCTGCCCCCCAGAGCCTGGGGGCCCAGCATGGGGGTGTCCTAAGCCATGAGGGCCATGGTGGGCCAGCTGCATCTGAGACATCCCTGTGAGAACAAAACACACACAAAGAGAAAAGAGACAAAAGGAATACAGAGAGCAAAGAAAATGGAGAAAAGAAGAGAACAAAATTGAGAAAGAAGTGACATCAGAAGTACGGAAAATAAGGCTGGTACAAGCTGCCTTTATCCTCAACCCCATTCCAAGGGTACAAACAAATCAGCTGCCCCCCCCAATCAACTGCTCACCCACTTCACTTGCTCCTTCCGTGATTTAGACGCTGTTAACAGTGCTGCAGAAGTATGTTAACAAATGGAGTGATTATTCCACCGAAAGGATTTGGGAAGGTAGCGGAGACACTGTCTGAGTAAAGATCTAATTCTAAAGAATGAGTAAGAATTTTTCAAGTGGACAAGAGAGTGGACTAGAACACCCCAGGCAAGAAACATTAGCATGTGCAAATCACAGGGGCATCAAACAGCATAGTATGTTCAGGGAAAACCAGTAACTCAGAAATAAAGAGCAGCATATAGTCATGGGAGTAACTGGCAGACACCGATCATGAAAAGCCCAGATGCTATGATGACAAGTTTGACTCTGTAGGTAAAAGGGAGCAACAGAAGAATTTCAAGCAAGGGTGGTGAACAACTGTGTTTTAGAAAAATTACTCTGTGCAAGTGGATCAAAGATATGGAAACTGGAGTCAAAATGTTAGAAAATTACTACAATAAATTAGGTGTGAAATAATGAGTATGAGGGGGCATGAACTAGGGCACTGGCAGTAGGGGCCAATGCCAGAAATATTAATAAGACTTGGTATCTAGAGTGGGGTGATAGCAAGTTGTTAAAAATAGTTCCCAGATTTCTGAATTAAGCATCTGAAAACAAAGAATACTAGAGGAAGAACTGGTTTGAAGGGAAGGACAGAAAAGTGGAGCTGTCCATCATCAGGCAGTAGGATTAAGGGTCATGGACCTGAGACACATATCTAGGAGGCATCAGTGTACAAGTAATGGAACTATGCAGAAAAGAGAACCAAATACAAAAACCTAGCTACATGGAGAAGGGGGAAAAAAGCCTATTAAAGTGGCTAAGATTAATGAATCAGACATAGATGAAGAATCCAGAAAAACCAAGGGACAAGATTTTCAAGAAGGATGACATGCCCAGTTTCAGGTACACCAAAGGGCAAACCAGATAAGGAATGGAAGTGCCCCCTAGATTTGACAATTAGGTTACTGCTTTGGGGGAGAAGTCAGGAGAGAAATGAAGTAAAAGTTAAAGGGAAAAAACAGCAAACACAGTTATACTCTTTGGATAAACTTACATAAGAAACGGAGACAGGGTGGTAGTTGCTAAACAGAGAGCAGTATTTTGTGTTTTTTATAAACTAATGTCTGAAGAAAAGTAAAGCTCTGGGACTATCTATTATTATTATTGCTGAGGGACAACGGCAACACCATAAGTGGCAATAGAGCTCCTCCACCAGGCTCATCCCTCCCTTCCTCAGCAAAGAACACCCACCTGGATGGGGCATCCCACCCGGTGGGAATGGGTGAGGATGTGAGTGTCCATGTCCAGGATGTCCAGCCCCTGGGGTTCCTGCTGATGGTGGGCCATGTCCTCCAGCCCCAGGAGGCATAGGTGGTGGGGGCATAGCTGGGGGTATCCCAGGTGGAAGGGCTCCAGGAGGCGGCACTGGGGGTGGGAAGGACCCAGGAGGAGGCATGCCTATAGAGGAAATGGAAGAAGAGTTAATGATAGTAGGAGAGAACGTCTTTAGAGAGCCTGTTCAATCTGGCCTCTTCAGGCAGGATAAGCTCCCTTCCCTTCCTCCGGGCTCTCTAAAGTCAGAAGCAATACTAGACAACTCTGAACAACTTCAGCCTCCTCAAGTCAACAACTTTCTTCCCCACCACAACTGTTGCACCTCACTCCTTTTCTCATCACCTACTGACTCCACGTCCCCCTTTATCCAGTTCTTTTTCCTTCCTCCTGCCCCACCCCCACCACACCCCAAACCCAAGACAAAAATATTTTGAATAAAAGCTTTACCTGGTGGAGGAAGCCCGGACCCCAATGATGATACCACAGGATTGGGGGCTGAGGGTGGAGGGGGTGCATCTGCAAACAGCTGATGAGGGCGGTCGGCCTGGGAGAGTGGGTTCTGGGCTGCCAGAAGTCGTTCAGCTGCTGAGCCATGGCGCTCACCCTTGGAGTCCTTCTTGAAGGCATAGGACACAGTGATAGGGCGGTTACAGAGATACTGCCCATTCATGGCCTCAATAGCTGCATCCGAAGCATCAAAGGAAGCGAAATTAATAAAGGCATAACCTTTGGAGTTGCCTGTGTCAGGGTCCCGCATAATCTTCGGGGTTTGTAAGATGACCCCAAAGGCGCTGAAAGTATCATAAAGCAGCTTCTCATCAATCTCCGGGTCTAGATTGCCAATAAAAATGTTGGCCCCCACGTCCAGGTTCTTGTTGTGCGCTGATGCTTTGTTCACCCGTATTGGTTTCCCATAGAGTTTGATCATGTTCATGATCTTAATGGCATAGTCAGCATCTTCCTCACTCAAGAATTCCACAAAGCCATAGCCTGGGAAGCAGAAGAGTGGAGACTAACAACTTAAGTGATTCAAAATGGGGTATAACTCATTCACCTTCCAAAACACAAAGAACATGAAATAACAACCTCACTTCAAATGAGAATGGTTCCAGAAGCAAACTGTGAGCTACACTTAAAAGGAAGAACCTGCAGGTGATTCATTCCAAACAGCTACGAAAACTGCTGGAATCCTCCAGGCACCGTTTGTCCCGCCAGTACGTAAACACACCTCTTGTCATATACTCACCTTGGTGCTGACCTGTGACTCTATCCTTTGGCATGTGGGTGTTGACTACTGGCCCTGCCTGGAGAAATAGCTCCCACAGCAATGGTTCGCTAACCTTCTCGTCCAGGCCCCCGACGTAGACAGTGGCATCTGGAGGATAGGAGCAGGAGATTAGGGCAGGGATGAGATAATGACAGGAAACAAGGAGGTGACAGGCGGGGAAATGGGAGTGGAGATGGGGTACACGAGCAAAAGAGAAAAAAAAGAAAGATTAAAGCCTTTACACCTCCTTCATTCCAGAACTAGAGAACCTTAGGTCTAACCGAAGGTTCTGCTGCAAATTCTCCGTCAATTGCTTTGTTTCTGGTTTTTGTTTGTTCGTTTGTTTGTTTGTTTGTTTGTTTTTGAATGAGAAGCCAGACGGGATTGGGCAGAGCATCACACCTACGGGCCTCAGCCTGCACCCGGCCACCCCGCCCCCAGCAGGCACGGGAACCGGTCTCCCGCCCTCCGGGAAAATCCGATCTCCAAACCCGGCGGAAAACACTGCTGGCCCTAGTTGAGGCCTCCCAGCTCCCCTGGGCCCATTCCGGGCTCCCCCTCCAATCACCCTGGTTCCGCTCGGAGATCGGCCCGGCCGCCATGGCGAAAGAGCTCCCGCCGTCCCCAAGCGGCGATCCCGCCCTCTGACCGCAGTCACTACTTCCACTTCCGGGGCGAAGGCTGTCGTGAGGGTGGTGGGCGGGCCCGTGGCGGGGGAGGAGCCGGAAGTGGCAGCGGCCATCTTAGAAACTGTGGAGAAGACGCGACTCGTGGGACCTGTTTCTCCGGTGCTTGGTCCCGTGCGGAGTTGCCATTGCGAGGGGTCAAAACGAGGAAGGCGGAATGGAAATTCCCAGACCTTCTTAAGGCAGTGCTAGGCGTTAAAGGATCGCAGTGCTCTCAAAAATGTAAATTCGGAAGCCAAAAGAACAAAACTTGACTTTTTAAAAAATATTTTGTTGGCAAACGATCCTTCTTTTGTTCCCCGAATAAGGGTGTGCTGAGGTAGCCCCCCCCCATCCTAAGGATTCGGCTGTCTTAGGTCACGGAGGGAGCCGTCCACCCTGGCCCGCGCCTTTGGGCAGCGGCGGCCTCGGCCCCATCCTGGGCTTGAGGCGTTTCGTTTTTCCTCAGCGGAGAGGTTTGCGGAACGTCTGAGCTGGGGTGACGTCCGAGCTCACCTAGTCCTTTTGCATGGGGTGGGGGGTGATGGAAACCTGCGGCCCAGACATGAAGTGTGACCAAAGCTGAGGGGTGGTTGACATTGGAGTCCAGGGGCCTCAGTTTCAACCGCCAGAACACCCCGGGCCCAGCGACAATGTCTTGGTATGTTCTTCGCCCCGTCTTCTCTAAAAAGTTGCGTGTGGACTTCGCCTGACCTGTCCCATTTCCTTAACAATAAAATGGGTCCCATCCTCTTCCGGTTCATACCCATCAATTTCTTACCTAGGATCTTTTATTCAGACACAAGAGGTAATGCCAGCACCGTGTATAAATACTGTTTTTAATGAACTCCTTAAATAGAAATGTTACTACAAAATATACAATTGGCAAAGACAGGGTGCCTCCCATACCCACTGCATACCCATAGAAAACTAAAGGGAAGAAACAGAAATTGGAATTACAGAAGCAGCAAGAGGAGGTGAGAATGAGTTCTGTAGGCCATCTTGTTAGAACTGATGAACAGCATCTCTCATCTCACAATTTTAACAGCTGGATATCCAAAGGGATAGAATTGCCCTGAAAAAAAACAAAGGTAATCGTATTCGGGATTGCTTTTGTTTCTTAATTCCTGAAATCCTAAGAAACCTATCTCGAAGAACGAAACAGGACAGGGCAACTCTTGTTGGGAGAAGGTTAGCGCCACCCCTCTGCAACGGAAAGCCAGGTCAGTGAGCTTGTTGAGGGCTGGAGTGTCAAAAGCTGAGACAGCAAGAACAGATAAGAAAAATTGGAAGATTAAAAAGAACCCTCCCTCACCCCAGATCACCCTCTGCCGTGCCCATAAAAAAGCGATTTCAACGGGATTGGGAGACAATGGTATTTGGATCTCTTTTCTCGGAGTGATCCTCAGGAGATATTCTTGGTGTCCATTTCCTTAAAAGCTCCTGAAGATGGGATAGCTCATCCTGGAGGCCAGAGATTGTGGGAGCTGAGAGGCCTTTCTGGGGAGGGGGTGAAGAAAGGCAGAGAGGAATATTATTACAGCTCTAGCTCCCTGTTTCTGAGATCTGTCCATTACTTCTGGTATCCTTTTAAATTATTATTACTATTATAATTGACATACAATACCCTGTTAGTTTCAGGTGCACATCCTAGTGCTTTTTTATACCTCTCTAAAATTTTATAAAATTATACGTTTATACAATTTTATACAAAAAAGTTGATCTTTGTATACCTTACAAAGTGATCCCCATGGTAAGTCTAGTTCCCATCACCTCTGGCATCTTTAATTCTCTTTCCCCCTCCAACTATGCCCTAGGTTCTACTTGATCAGAACCACAAGCAGTCTTTCCCATACATACACACTCCCAAACCTATCCACTCTGATACCAACAGGAATGGTACTTCACTCCTCAATCCCCCCAGACCCTTGCTTTTCCAGCTCCTAAAAACATCTGGTTTCTCCCAGAACATTTGGCTTAGCAGTCAAGCCCCTTCTCCCACTCCCAATCCCTATCCCTGTCTTCCCTCCTTACCTGTACCTCAGGCCTTCCCCTCAGGTAGCAGCGTCTCCACAGCCTGATCTGGGGTCCCAGATACCCAGGCAGCAGCAACCCTGGGGGTAAAGGGCAAGCTCCCCAGTGTGAGGGGAGCCCCCACTCCTGATCAGCCAGGCTTTCAGAGGAGATAGCAGGTCGAGGGAGCCAACGAGAAGAGACTGCCAGCAGGGAGGGACTGTCCCGCCAAGGACAGAGCTGATTCAGGGGGGTCAGAGCCCCTCTGGAGAAGAGCCACACAGAACTGGGGGGTCCAGAAACCATGAAGTTTGGCTAAAGGGAAAAGAGAAATCAACTGGCAACCTAGAAACCAGATGACCCCACTTACACCAAACTGGGTCAGGAAGGAACGTCTACCTGTCATCTACCCACACTGTATTAGTGATCAAACTACAGGACTCCCCCTGAGAACTCTTTCTCTACTCCTCATTAGGCTTCAAACCAGGCCTCAGGTCTGATTAAAGTCAATTTTAGGGAAACTTATAAAATGTGTGTAAGAAAGGGGTTGCCTAGGTGGCTCAGTCAGTTAAGCATCCAACTCTTGATTTCAGCTCAGGTCATGATCTCAGGGTTATGAGATCCAGACCCACATCGGGCTCTGCGCTTGCTCAGTGGGGGTCAGCTTGAGATTCTCTACGCACCCCCCCAAACTGACATTCACATGCTCTCCTTCTCTAAAATAAGTAATAAATCTTAAAAAAAATGTAAGAGATAGAAAAACTAATAAAGATGAGGACAATCCTCTGTGCTATTCTAGGATTTCTGCCTTCCTGGGGACAGTCAGAGACTCTAAGTGACAGCTACAGAAGTGTGGGGCAGCTTTCCCTGGGGAACTCAAGACACCGTGTCTTTCTACTTCTCCCTATCTAGTAGAATGAGCCTGTGAGAAAGTCAAAGGAACTTAGGAAGACACCTCACCTGCTGTCTAGGGAGCCAGGAATCTGGGCAGTGTTCCGGGTCATAGCCAGGGTTATGGAATTGTAGTATCTGTTCACTGCTGTAGCGTAAATCCCAGTCCCAGACAGACAGCTGTGGGTTAACGGAGTTCCCAGCAGGGAGTTGGGAGTACCCTGCAGTATAGATTTGTGTATAGGAGTTGAACTGGACAGAGGAAACAAGAAAAAGGGTGGTTAAACAAACAAAAAAGTAATCCTTTTCCCAAGTCTGGAAAGAAACTGTGAAAGGCTCACCTCTTCCTCCCGGAATCAGAATCAGATGTAGGGTGAAAGTCCAGTCATGAGAATGAGCACCAACCTCCCCCTTTCCCACCCACAGACCTCACTTTCCATAAATCAACACTAAACTTCAGAGGGTATTTCTCAAGGAGAAGAAAAGGCAGCTCAAAAACGGAAGTCACTGACCTGTCCACTCTGCTTTGCACGCTCCCAGGGAGTATCTCTTAAGAATGTGAGAGTGTCGGGAACCCTGGCACTGTCATGAAGAGCAAGAAGGAAAAACTCTGAGAATTCAAACTCAGCTGGAAACTGCTGGAGGAGCTGCCAGACACAATCAAGGAAGAGGAGAAACACTGGAGCCTGAGAAGAGGGAAAGTGAGAGGTTAGAAGGGATTGTAGGCACCTAAAGGGGGAGGATGACAAAATGATGGGGGACAAGGGACACAGCCAACAGGGCCACTAAGGTCAGGGAATGGAAATCTGGATTGAGGGTAGTAGGGGGTTGTGGTGCCTCATTCATCTAGGTCTCCCTTCAAGCCTAACCTAATTTCAGGATCCTTCTAACCCAGTTTTACTTCCAGTGGATTATACTATATAGTTTTCTATAGTTATAGTTTTCTCATCCCCTTACATCTTTAGTAATAATCTCCCCCCAGTACCCTCCCAAAATGATCTTACCTCTTCACTGGCTCCAGTTACCCCAAGTCGGGTCAGGAAGGGATGTCCAGCTGCCACCCACTCTCGCTGCACTAGTGATTGGAAGCCAAGCAGTGTTCGGGCTTCAGGGGCTGAAAGCAGCTGGACGAGTGAAGAGAGGAGGCCATTGAAATCACGATCACCGCGCTCTGGGTGACAAAGAGGGAGAAGGGACAAAGAAGGAGGGGCCAAGAAACTAGGGCAGAAGAAAATGGGAAAAGGAAACGTAGCAAGAAGAAGAGAGGGACACAGAGGAGAAAAGTTTTGGTTAGGTAGGATTGAGAGAGGGCGAATAGAAGTGAAAAGAAAATAAAGACCTTGAATGATTCAGTTCACAGACTCCACCTGGATAGAAATACCCAGCTTCACGTGTAGGAGGCAAAATCATAAATCTCAACCCAGCTTCCACACTGTCCTTCCCACTCCAACCCAGTCACCATCTATTGATGGAAGGATGGGAACAGAAGGCGAAGAACCCTGCTGTTAGGGACCACAAGCTGTAGTAACACTACAGCTAGTAGTAGTACTACTACTACTGGGAGGCAGGGGTAGCACTGAAGGATGAGTGGGGCCCATGGGTAGTTCCTAGTTACAGGAGAGGAGGATCCCAGTACTAGATGGGGACAAGGAAGACTTAGAGATCTTCCTCCCAGTTGGGTGGGTAAAGAAAAAAGGAAGGAATGGAGTAGGTTAACCCAAGAAACTCACCTTGGAGTACTACAGAGCGAACCCTGGATGTCACTAAGACTGAGATGTCACTGGCCTTTCGAAGACAAGACCTGAGGGGGCAGATGAGGAAGAGGAGAGAAGAATGATAAGCCTGGAAGAAGGGAGTTATGGGTCATGGAATGGAAAAGAGGCAGACTCCAAAGTTCTGCCCATTCTCCTTCTAAGGAGCAGCAAATAAGAGTCTTCTTGGGAAACCAAAGAGAAGAGTTAATGGAAGGCTATTTAGGAATTCAAGTTAACAGAAGGTTGGGGAGGGTTGAATTATATAAATCATAGCTAGAAAATGAGGGAGTACCTGACATAATCCAACCATCGTGTCCCTTCCAGGGCTGAGAGCCATTTCTCCTCGGCTGCAGATGAATCTGAGAGAGAGTAGAGGGGTCAGAAGGACAAAGAGATGGGGAGAACTCAGGATTCACGATTCAGGGTTTGCAGCCTGAGGGTTAAGAATAAGTTGGGTAGTGGTTACCCAGGACTGGGGACAGAAATGAACAGTAACCATAAATGGCCATGAGGTTACTACAATTATAATTGCAGTGACGGTTGTCAACCTTGTAAATGTAATAAAATTCACTGAACACTTAAGATGGGTGAAGGGTGGATTTTATGGTATGTAAATTATATCTCAATAAAGCTGTTTAAAAAAAAAAAGAATACACTGGGGACAGGAAGACAGGAAAGCAGTGAGTCTGTGGGAGATGGGAGTTGAACAGAAAACTGTGGATCTTTGGCCTGAAGGGTTACTCATACTGTAACAGGCAAAAGGGTAAACCAGGTTAGGGTCAGCAGACCTAGGGGTGGGGGTAGGGGTCAGAGGTTATCTCACCAGGCAGGCAGAGGGCCCTCAGCTTCAAGTGGGCAAGTTGGACATCTGTAAGACTAGGCAGCTCATCCACAGTGTCCACCAGGACAACATCTGAATGCCCAGCCTGGAGCATTGACTCCACTGCTCTGGAGGGGAAGAAGTCACAAGGTAAGGGAACAAGTCTGTCCTGAACCTCCAACCCTTGATTCTACTCATCAAACCTCCCCTCACCTGATATCCTCCTTGTTAGGGTCGCTGGCTGTATAGAAGCCACCACAGCGGAGAAGATCACTGCCCCCAGGGTGATGCCAGGACAGGCGCTTCAGATGGTGGGAGGTTAGGATCACCGTGGGAGAACCTGCTAGCCCCACCCTATCCTGCCCCCACCCTGGTCTCCCTCCGCAATGACCCCCCCGCCCCGACCTCCCATAACCATCTAATCCCCAACCATCACCCTGGCCCCCACACTGACCGGTCCACGGCCCTGATGGAAGTGGCCAAATGCTCTCCTGACCTCACTGTCCAAAGTTCGCTTAGGGACCCAGAAGTAACGGGGGAGGCTGTGAAATTGAGAGTTACAGTCACAGCTTGGCTCAGTGAACTCATTATAATGCAGACCTGTCATTACAAGGAAGTCACTTGGGAGGGGATTATTTCAAGGGACCTCAGGTTTAGAGATCTAGGCAGTAAGGGGGATAGCTTTGTGGATACCGTAAGAGGCTAGAGTTTGTGGGCAGTCCTCGCTTTAGAGGATCTGAGAACTGTGGGAAGATTGGGAGGGCAGCGGGGGTTGGGGTGGCCTGAGGGATCACCTGGTGGCTACGTCGAACCTCTCATTGACAGGGCTGACCCTCCAGCTCCCAGCCCCCTGCTTTTTCCGCTCAGTCTCCCAGTCTTCTGATGTCTCCAAGAGGGGAACAGGTGGTTTTCTGGGCCCTGAACTCTGGCCTAGGGCAGGAATGAAGCACAGAAAAGAAGGAAGAGGAACCAGAGAGAGCGTCTCAGCTCTACTGTCTTCAGGCAGCCTCTGCTCTTTCAGATTCTTTCCCCTTTCCCTACCCTAAAGCACCCTCACTCACCAGCCTTGCTCAGGGATATCCCTGCATACTGTTGGGCTTGACTGCTCTGAGCTCTGGCTCGGACAATGGCCATGGTCACCTGTGGAGGAGAGGGCATCCCAGGCTTTTGGCTCAGACTGAAGAAGTGAAGAGGAGGACATGGGACCCATGTGTTGTTCAACTGTCTTTGCCACCAACAAAGAAGAGAGAAGACAGTCCCTAAGGAAGGGAGCTTCCACAGGTGGTGGGGACTGGGGTCAGGAGAACATATCCAGAACCACAGAATCACAGAATGTCAATTCTGCGAGGAATCTCGGGAACATCTCATCCAGCCCTCCCTGTTTCTCAAAGGAAGAAACTTGCCCGCTGTCACACTCCTGATAATCGGCAGTGCCAGGCTAGAATTCAGGCCCCTTACTCTCATTATACTATCCTTTATCCCAGCCTTTTAGCCTCTCCTTGAGGAGAGAAGCAGACAGAAGGATGAGAGGGGTCCTAGGAGATCGGGGAGTAGTAGGAATGCCAAGGAAAGGATCCTAAGGCTCTAAGGGGAGGAGTCATCTTTGGGTTGAAAGCCTCTTACCTGAAAGGCCTGAGGCTCTAGTCCTCCAGCCTCAAAAGCAACTCTGAGCAGCCGGAAATCTCGGCCATGAATGAGGATCTCCTCAGGGGTAAATTTAAGTGGGGACCCTGGACGGAGGAGCTGGACTCTGGACAGGCCACTCACTGAAGTCAAGAGTTAGAAAGCAGTGCAGCCATGGATCAGGGTCCCTCTACAAGGAAGTCTTCCAGCCCATCCCACTCCATCCCTGCTGCCCTCTGAGAACAGAGGAAGGATGAGGAAGGGTGAGCCCCCGGTAAGCCCCTTCACCAACACCTCACCCCCCACCACACCCCCCGCCCACTCACCAGCCTCTAATCGCCCAATGTTGACCAGGACAAAATCATATTCACTGCTCAGGGGAGTCTCCTAGAGGAAGCACATGACCGATGCTAAAGACATCTGAAATCTTGCTCATTGTCCTACCTTGCCAATCCCTAACCTCCCTGGAGATAATCCCGACAACCCCTTAAGCATAACTCTCCCTGTCTCACTTGTCTAAATCCTTCTACTCTCCCCAATCCATTTCTCACTAACTGTCCTTTCCATTGCCCTCACCATCTCACCTGACTCCGTTGCCATCCACGGGGCTGGAAGGTGACCCTCAAGTTGGTGCAGATCAGGGTTCCAGGCAATTCAGGTTCCAGCCCCTTCCTCACCCCTGGGGCCCATGCTAGGATCTGCTCCCCTGCAGGGGAAGGGAGAAAGCCAGGTTATGACTATTCCCAGTGTCACCCACACTGGTATACACCTACTCCTCTGAGACAGGAGGATGTAAAGAGGGAAGATTAAAATCCTCCCCTAACTCCACTAGAACAAAAGCTTAGGAGGAGATCATTTGTATTCTTTTACTCTAGAGCTTAGAACAGTGCCTGGCACAGAGTAGGCACTCAAATACCTCTTGAATAAGTAAATGAGAAAAGGGAGTAAGAGAGTCAGGAAAAGAGGGACCATCAAGGTCCAGGCTCCTAGCCAGCTCTGACAGAGAAGAGAGCAAGCCTCAGACAGAAGCACTTGAAGCAAGCAGAGGAATACAGAGGTATCTTTGGTGAGGTTTGAAGCAAAGTTTGAGCAGGATGAAATTGGGAAGAGTCTTTGGAGATTGGAAGTATTGGAAGGGAAGTTATTACCTGGGAGGCATCCCAAGGCCAGGTGACTGCCAAGCTGACAACTCCTGGACTCCAGCATCCCAGTCCTCTGGACAGGCTTTGGTCCAGAGAGCTGTGAAGGGTGTAGGGTTAATCCCCAGGCCTCCCCAACCCCCAATCTGGGATTACCTCAGCAGCCACCATTGGAGGCCTACACTCAGACTCTCAGGGGAAACTGAGATCAGCGGCAGTGGGGAGCTTAGGACCCAGTTGGCAGACAGTAAAGGGAGGGGCTGGTTAATGGATAATGAGACGATGAACTTGAGACTGTGAAAAAGACAGACCAAGCTCCATCAAGCGAAGTGGATATGGGACACACCCTCCTCCTCTTCGAGCTCCTTTCCTAGCTCCTCTTTTATCTCCATATCCTCCTCATTCACACCCTCCTGCCCACGGTGCCCTTCCCTCCCAAGCCCAAGTCTCCTCTCCTTACCCCCATGTCTGGCTCCGCCTTCTGGGGGGCGATGTTGAAACTCTGGCCCCGACCCCCCCACCACATTTCTCTGGCTCCATCCGGGGACGGAGCAGTGAAGGGTGGGAAACCTTGAGGATGCTCAAGCCCCTTAGGGAGAGGCTGAATCTTGTAGTTGAGAAGAGGGAAGTCAGGGAGAGGGGCAGGGGACAGCACCAGGGAAAGGAGCGTTTGAGGTGCACGGAGCACGATTAGGGGTCTTTTGAAAGGTGTGTCCAACCCAGCTAGAGGAGGCTCCTCGGAAACTTCAGTCGACTCTGGAGAGGGCGGGAGAGATGCCCAGCCCCTTAAAGGGGAATACACACAGTTTCGAAAAAGTGGAGGAGCCTGGAAAAGGTGAGGAAAAAATGGCTAACGGGGAAAAAAAAAAAATCCAGATTCTTTCCCCAATCCCAGATCCCATGCTCTTTCTGTTCACAAGCACTGGAAATTATTTGAGGGAACAGTAATACCGAGTATTAACCCAGAATAATTTGGGCTCCGGTTTTTTTTGTCTTCTTAGAGGGTGGTGTGGTGGGAGGAATGCAAAAGCAGTTTAGGCTTCCTTGCAGCCTCCCCTGACACACCTGACAAAAGTAGTAGGAAATGGGCCTCAGGGGATTTTTGCCTGGGGAGGCCCAAGAAATGAGGGAGAGGAGTTAAAGCATTTTGTACATCGTTCTCCAGAGAGCGTGAAACATACCTCACGTGGAGGGTGCCCTGAGAACACTGGGGAGAGAAATTGAAATATATCCGGGATGCAGACAAGTCAGGTGTGTTCATGTGCAAGTTCTGGGGGTAGAGGGAGGCCCAAGGAAGAGATCTTACTACTTAATCCAACACACACACACACACACACACACACACACACACACACACACACACACAACCAGTGGGAAACCAGAGCCCATTCCAGGTACATGACCCCTCCCTCCAGCCCAGACACCAGATCTCCAAATTAATGATTCATGTTCAGGACCTTCAAAGCTGAGGGCTGGAAACCTCTATCAGTTCAACAGCCCCATCCCCCACCATGCCCCCTGCAACCTGAGGAGCAGAGCAGAGGTGGGTGGGGAGGACCCTAGGAGGGAAGTAAAGGAACTGCAGTTGATGGCGCCTGGGTAGGAAGCAAAAGTCTGCATTTAGATGCGAAAAAGAAATGAAATACAAAATAAGGGTTAATGAGCTGCTGTTTTATTGATTTTGAGTCTGTACAGAGGCAGCAGACCTTAGGTGGGGGCCCCAGTTTTCCAAAGTGACACTCAACTCTCTCCTCCCCTCAGCACACACACCCTTCCGGCCTCGGCTGTAAAAGTTCCCTGTCTTGGCTGATATTGTGGAAATAATGAAGATATTGTGAGACAGGAAGTTAATTTGGAACAAAGAGGCATACACCTGCTAGGAAGGTGGCCCAGAAGCCTTATTCTAGAAGTCCTAAAAGCTCCCAAGCACCCCCAACCCCACCTACTTTCCATGGGCCTCAATCTCTTGGGGGAAGAAATATTTCCCAAGGTCTCTTGCAGTAGGAAGAGCTGTGTTCCACAATTTTAAAGGCCCATTCTCCATTTTCCCTCTCCCCACTACCCTTCATTCAAGAGCCTCATTCTATTCTTAATATTTTGAGGTATAGCAGCAGCAGAGGAATCCAGAGGAAAAAAACATCAGGGGAATGGGGGGAGGTGGAAGGCAGAAAAAAGTGGGTGACTTGGCTGAGCACGGGAATGCAAAGGGGCAACAGCCAAGGGCTAAGTAATAGGACCACCTCTCAGTACCCCCCACACCAGTGGAGGTTTTAGTGGATGAAAGGAAGGATGCAGAAGCAAGGGGCTGTATCAGATTTTCCCATTTTCAGAATCCTGGTCTGGTTGCAGGTTTGTGCCAAGAGTGAAGGCTGCTGGGAGGGGCAGCTGGAGGAGGGGGTGGAGCTGAGTGACTCACAAGATGAGTCACAGATCCAGTTATAAGCACAGAAAGAGGCCAACGTCCTCCCCACCCCCCACCGCTCTCCGGTTACCGTCGGCCAGCTTCCATTCCTCTTTCCTAACCCCCCTAACCCACGTGGCCAGTGAAGGGCGGTGGCATGGATAAAGTCTACATGAGGACAGTCATAATAAATATTTGGTTAAGCTACTTAAGTACAGGGGCAAAACACCCTGCTATCTGCAGGCTGGGTATCGACAAAGTGAAAGAGACAGGAGTGCCTGTCTGACTCACTGAATCTGCAGTTGAAGGGCCTGGAGGGAAAAAGAAATTAGAAAAATCTGAGATGCAGGTGATTCCAGGCCGGGAAGGGGCTTCCAAGTCTGTCTTCTCATCTGTGCCTGGGGCACTGACTGCTTGAAGAAGACGACTGGTGTCTGAGGGGACAGCCATCACTGAAGCGCCTTAATGGGAAAGACAAATGTGACTGGAACCCTGGATGTGTGTGGCTGTTTAGAAAGGAGACCATTCGGAACCAGCTCCATTTTTTTCTGCCTCTGTATCACTTCCCAAATACACGATATGAAGTCATTGCTAACTTTTGTTTTATTAGTCTGTAAGCTTTAGTTGCGCTTGAGAAGAAACCGAGCCAAGAGTGGGAGAGTTCTTCCCTCCAGGCCCTGTCAGCACGAAGTTTCACACCATCCCCACTCCATAAAGAGACTGAATCTTAAAAAAAAAAAAAAAAAAGTTTTGATATAATCTTTTTATTTTGTTGATAGGATCCAGTATGAGGGAAAAACTTTTGATTAAATCTTGTAACTCCCAATAAAACGACACAGATTAAGGTAGGAATTTGGAGACCTATCCTATAGTATACTTGCTCCATCAAGGCTGGGGCGGAGAATGTAGGGTGGAGGGGTAGCACTGTCTTAAGAGGGGAAAAATAAGAACCCCAAATATTTCCCCTCTCCAATAAAAACCTCAGTAGGTACCCCAATGCCCTGGATTAAAAGAACTAAGTGCACTTATTTAAGCCTGAGAGATCCCATCCCTCAGCCAGGGTGACAGGATCTGCCTCCCCCTTCAGCCACATACCCCTCAACCAAGGAATTTTTGCTCATTTTAGGTGCACGTCACGTCTCCTTCTCCTCCCCTCTCCCAGCACAGTAACTGCATGGGCTTGCCTCTTCCACCCCCTCATCTTCCCAAGATACCACAAACCAACCAGAGTCTGTTTTCATTTCCCAGGCATTATTCCTTCACCCTCCATCCCACACAACCCCCTCAAAGAATAAAGCAAAACAGTCTTTACTCATCCCTACTGAAAAACATCCATTGACTCAGGGCCCGTCATCCTTAGAATGGAGAATTTTTTTTTCAATGCCTCAATATATAGTTACCTTCCCAAATTAAACAAAAATAATTTATTTCTGAATAAAAAGCTACAGGGCCTAAATAAAGTCCTATTTTATCATATTCACTCCTAAGCAACCCCCCAGAATTTCTACCTTTTTTATTTGAAAAGAGGTCAAATAAATTGGGATTGGTTAGTTTATAAATCAAAACAAAAACAAACATGACACCAGGTTTCTGTTTTTGTTCATTTGTCCTCAGTTTTTAAAAACAAAAGTATTAGCTAGAATCTAATAACAAATCAAATCCAAACACAGCAGTCCAATGGAGAATTAAAACTTTCCTGGCTTTACTCTCTGGGAAAACCCCTGGTCTGTTCCCATTCCTATCGGTCCAGGCCAGAATCCTATGCTGGAGACGGGCACCTCCGGGAAAGCTAGGTGAGCTGTGCCGGGTGTGAGCTGGAGCCACCTGTCCTTGGGCGCACTTAGGGGATGGAGGTTCACGAGGTGATGGTCTCACTAGTGCTGTTCTAGCCCCAGAGACAGGGTGAGGTGAGCAAGGCTCTCACTTCGGGCACAAAATTTAAGGGATGCCCCAAAACTAAGTAACCAACATACTATCTTAATGCAGTATTTTTTGAACATCAAAACCAATGTAAAATATCCACAATGAACTAAGTATCAAAATTGTAAGGACAGGATTCAACCCCATACTTGCTCAATTCAGCTTATTTCCCTCACCTTAATCTCAGTCCTATTGGATCCTTCTTTAAGATTTTGATATTTTATTCATCATGGTAGTATTTACAGTACTGTAAATACTGCATTAACATGGTATTTATCTTAATCACTGAGTTTTTCAGTACCCCTTAAAGTTCTATACCGAGGGGAGTACTCATCTTGTAGTAGTCCCAGCCCTGGCCAAAAATATGTACATCCCCTCCTTTGGAATCTATCTCCTTTGACCCCAGTGCTTCCTGAAAACCATTCTATTTTCAAATAAAAGCCTAAGAATTAATAGCCATATGAAATGATTAAATCAACAGACTATCAGATTTGAAAAATGAGTGACTTTCAAGTCTGCTGAAGAAAGAGGAATCTTTCTAAACTCTGAGCAGTTCCAATGAAGAGGACAGTCTTGGGGGACATGGGATGACAACTTTCCTGATTGGGCAGAAGCAATATATGGCAATTACAGGTCCCTAAAACACATACACACACACCCAGCCCACATCCGGTTTAGAGCAAATGTGGGGATGCCATTCCATGAGATGGGTTAGGAGTACATACCTCAAAAGAGAAATCCACATACAGAAAAACAGCTCCGATAAACACTCTGGACACTTAAGTACACTTATTCCCCTTTTTCATATGCACCCAGGAGTGTATACAATTGCATAGTTGATTTTTTTTTTTCCCCAGAAAAAAAAAAAGAAAGAAAGAAAGAAAGAAAAAGGAAAATCGGCCCAGGATAGGTCCTCCAGTTTAAAGCTCTTAGAAATGGTGCTGGCCAGAGTAAAGGCTGTCCAGACTTGTGCTTTGTGCAAAATGCAAAGGAGCTCCCCCTTCTGTGTCCATAGGCCCATTCCCACCCTCTGGGGAAAAGGGCTGAGTCAGGGAAAGGGTGAAACCCAAAGACAGATCAGCTCATTGGGAGTAATCTGTGGTTACAGTTCACTAAAATAATATTTCTCTAACTACCTTTTTATAAATTGCCCCTAACCCCTACCCCCGTGTTTCAACATCAATCCTATTATCAAAAATATGTCTTCTTACAAAGTATTTTTTTTTCTTATTTTAATAAACTAACCACAGATTAAGGTCAGCTATGGCTTAACAAAAGAAGCCGGGATGTTAAGTTCATTCTCCAAAAGTAGAGAGGAAGGAGAAAGAATCACTTACATAGGAAGAAAAAAAAAATCATTTTTTAAAATGTTTTTGCTCACTGGGGTCGTTTTGTTTGTTTCTTCTCCTTAAAAAAAAAAATAGTCAAAATAAGTTGCTTTCTACAGAAACACAGCAGCAGAGGATGGTTTTTGGTTTTGTTTGAAACAGTCTGGCCAAAGGTCTGTCCGGCTCCTGCCCTCCCCGGGTGCACTCACACCCCACTGTGTGGTTATTGCTAAGTAGTTACAAAAGATCACCTGGAGAAGATTCAGCCCACACAGCTGCTCTTCTCCTTACTCTTCCCTTCCCCTGAGGGAACTTTTTCCTTTTTTTTTTTTTAAATAAAATTAAAGTCGTTAAAAAAAAAAATCACAATCTTAACTTAGCTGAGCTCAGCCCTCAAAAAGGATGAGGAAAAGATCCGGGGCAATCAGCAATCTCCTCTCGAACCAGAACGGATGACAAATGGCTGTTTAGAAGAAATAAAACTTGAGAGGAAAAGGATTCCCCTTGTAAGTTCTTCCCTTTCCCATCTCAGTAAGCAGATTTAAACCAACCCCCTCCTAATAAGCACCTGTGAGGACACATTACTGCCTTGTCTTTCCAGATCCTTCAGGAGGAAGAATTTGGCCAACCCTAATTTCTACCTTAATTCAAATCAACAGCAAATCTAATTCCCCAGTTTCCCTCCACACTCCCAACTCCACTGTCATGTGCTTTTTTCCAACCTACAAGAACTTTGGTCTGGTTTTTCTTTTATTGACTGAGAACCTCCTTTGCCTGCTCCTGCCCCAGACTTCTGCCCACCTCCCCACCCCCACACACTAAACCTTCCCCTCATTTCCACGAGATTCTGGGGTGTACCCAAGTAGTTATGAGACAAAATCACCATCTTTCCCCCTTGTACCTCCTCAGTCCCAGCAAGATTGACGAAGGGCTTGCGCGGCCCTCCAGGCACCACCCAGCCCCGACCTGCTCTTGCCAGCCTGGCAGCTCTCCAGCGCGCACATACACTTCAGAAGTTCCTGGCCAGGCTCCCACTGACATTACTGCATTTGCCCCATCCGCATGGGGGCTGGGTCTTGATAAGCCAATGAGCTGAGCTTAACTCTCTTTGTTTAGCCCCCCTTGCCCTCCAAGGCTCCCCCCCCCCGCTCAGAACCTGTGCACCAGCAGCTCCCCACCCGGTTCGCGCTCCCTCCTCCTCAGTTCTTCCCTGTAACAGCAGGAGCAGAAGTTGTTTGTCTCAGGGTGTCCATAGAAGCTGCAGTTCGGCTGTTTGCATTTGGTCTGGGTTGGAGGAAGCCCCCGGGGCCCTCCAGCCCATCCATCTGGCTCAGGGGGCTCTCTGAAGCCGTTGCTGTAGGAGTCAGCCACACGGAATGGGGGTGCTAACAACGCACCCCTGTGAAGGCCATCCTTGGGGTGACTGCCTGGCTCCAGAGACGGGATGCAGTCCCGATGGGGGTAGGGCCGCCCTGGAGGACACTGTCTGGGGAAGGTGGCATAGGGTGGTAGGCCCCCCCCCCAGGGCCCCCCTGCCAGCTGCCTCCGGGGTTCCTGGCAGTGGGCTCCAGCCCCAGCAGGCCTCGGGACAGTAAAGCCCCCAGGGTAGCCAGCAGGGAATGCCACTGCCTTGGACTCTGCTGGGGGGGCAGTCAGCAACTCCTCCCCGCCATCTGGCTCTGGCTTTTTGGCTGGAGGAGGCCCACTCCCCACCCCTCCATTCAGGATCTTCCTCTCTGCCTCCTTCTGCTTCTGCTCGGCCAGGAATCTCTCCTCAGCATCAGAAAGGTAGCGCTGGATCATCTCCTCCTGATACTGATGACGGTGACCCATCTTCAGGGTTCCAACAAAAATAAACTTCCCCTCCCCTTGCATGGCAATCCTCATAATGCTCAAGCTCTGCATCACTTCCTGGCTATACTTGCTCCCTCCATTACCAACAGACTCAGACGTGGGCTTCTCAGACACGGGCCCATCCCCCGCTGCCTCCTCCTTGCCACCCTTCCAGCTCTTCAGTGAGTTCTTCTTCTTCTTCTCCAGGGTCTCGGTGCCGCTGCTTACCCCCGACCCCGTTCCCACCCCTCCGGGCTTCGAGCCCTTGCTGGGCATCAGGCCTCCCATGTTCTTTTTGAGCTTGCTGCCCAAAGTTTTGCCAAAGCTGCCCAGTTTGTTGGCCACAGAATCTGCTCTCTTCTTGTCTTTCTCCCGACCTCGCTTTGACTTCTCTTTCCGCTTGCTGCCCTCATTGCTTGTAGAACTGCTGCCAACCGACTCCTTGTCTGATTCCCCAGACTCAGGAGTGGACCGGGGCTCATCTCCAGCTGAGGCTGTGGGGGACTCAGGTTGTGCCAGGGGAGCCTGGAGGACATAAGAACAGGATTACTGGTTGTCCCACTGGGCTGAGGCAAGGGAAGTCCCCTCTAGCTCATCCATCTGGCTCACAGGGCTCGCTGCAGCATTGCTACAGGAATTAGCCCCATGGAAAAGGGCTGATAACATCCCTGTGCACTCCATCCCTGGAGTGCCTGCCTAGTTCCAGCAAAGGGCCGTTGTCATGGTGGAGAAGGGTCACCCAGGAGGGCACTGTCCTTCCCCAGCTCCAGTCAGCTCTCCCATGGACCAGGGAAAAATGTATCTAAATATCTAACTTTTATCTCACCCCCTGCAATTTGACTCCCTTCTGTAATAAGGAGGTTCTTCTAGAGCAATGAGCAACCATAACAATACATGGCGTCTGGGTAAGGAGGAAGAATATTCCATAGATACTAGAATACCCTTTATTATAAATTTCTCTCTCTCTTTTTTTAAGATTTTATTTATTTGACAGAGAGAGAGAGAGAGAGCACAAGCAGGGGGAGCGGCAGGCAGAGGGAGAGGGAGAAGCAGACTCCGCACTGAGCAGGGAGCCTGAGGCGCTCGATCCCAGGATCATGACCTGAGCTGAAGGCAGACCGTTAACCAACTGAGCCACCCAGGCGCCTCAATTACAAATTTCTCTATGCCTGGGATGCCTGGGTGGCTCAGATGGTTGGGTCCTGGAATCGAGCCCCATGCCAGGCTCCCAGCTCAAGTGGGAGTCTGCGTCTCCCTCTCCCTCTGCCTCTCCCCCTGCTTGTGCTCCCTCTGTCTCTCTCAGATGAATAACATCTTTAAAAAACAAACAAATTTGTCTATGCCAGATTTTGCCCAAAATTAATCTCAAGGAAGTCGTAACTAACCACAACCAACTCTAACCATTCTGCATCCCCTCAACTTTTAGACATTCAGCACTAGAGTCTGTCAGTCTGCCCTTGTTCCTGTATTCCTGTTCTATGGAGAATGATGACATCCTCAGAACCTACTAGATCAGTCTCTTAAGGAGACTTAAGCGATTCTGTCTCCTCTGGTAGCCTCCACAGAAGTCTATATATATAAGGCTTGGGACAAAGTAATGATGATCTCAAGTTCACCAAAAAGTCTAGAAAACTTTTCTTCGAAGAATGTGTTTTAGTATCACAAAGCAGAGCTGGAGAGGAGCTGTGGAAAATGGAGGGCACTAACAGGTAAGAAGGCAGGAAAAAGTGTCTTTTGGAACTCATCTGATATTTTCCAGTTATTCCTAACCTTGAATCGTCAGCTTCCACTCAGAAGGGATTCATAAGGAAACCACTGCCAGGTCTCCTTGTTCCCCCCGTCGCTGAAAACCGAGGATGTACAAGGGTGGGGTCGGAGAAGTCCTCACCTGTGCATCAGAGGACACTGGGATCCACTTCACATTCATGTAGCCATGCAGCAGATGCAATTTGACCTCTAGGGATAGGATTACACTGTGAAGAGGAGAAAGGAAGAATTAAAAACATCCTGTGACCTTTAAAAAGCAAAGTGTGTGATCCAGTTGGGAGGTAGGATGGGAGAGGGCTACAATGGCTTGGGACTCAGACAAGATGGGGTCTGAATTATAGCTCCACCAATTAGTACTAAGCTTTATGCCCTTGAGGCAAGTCACTTCACCCTCCCTGGAACTCAGCTGGGGTTGATAATGGGCATAGATAATATCTACCCTGTAAGGTTGTTGTGAAGATTAAAATAGTACTGGAAAGGACCCAGCATAATGTCTGGAAAACAGGAAATACTTACTGAACAGTAGCCATTATTGTTGCTGGTGTAAATATTATTAAGAGGGAGCTTTTGATATTTAGGTGAGAACTTATTTTAAAAGCCATAAATTCTGAGTTTTTAAATCAAACCCTCTCAATTGGATCCCAGTGTCAGGAGCCCAAAGAAGGAAACACTGGGTAAGAGGTAAGGAAGGAGCATTTATATCCATACCCTCTTCGTAGGAAGCTGTGGAGGGCACAGGCCGAGGACTAAACTGGCTTTGGGAGGTGGCAGGGAGGGGGGCTGACAGAAAGAACATTTTTCTTGCTATTTAAATTCAGAAAGGCAACAATCCAAAGCAAACTAACACTTCGGTCAATTATTTAAAAACCCTCTCATGGGTTGGCTTAGTTGGTAAAGCATGCAACTCTTGATCTTGGGGTTGTGAGTTCGAGCCCCATGTTGTGTGTAGAAGTTACTTAAAAAATGAAATCCTAAAAAAATTTTTTAAATAAATAAAATAAAACACCTCTCACTTGGACTGGGAGAAAAAGTGTGACTTGATTATCTTGATTTTCTGATCACTGTTTTGGAGATTCTGGGATGTATCCCAGGAGAAGAACACTCCTCATATTATAAGGAAAGAACAAGTTGTGATCCCAGGATTTCCCTTTTTCATGGGGAGAAAAAGCAGCTGCATGCTGTAAGAATCCTGGTGCCCAACATGCCCCCCCGCCCCATCTCCATCTTCCCCAAAACACCAGAGCTAGGATGTGACTGTCTTGCCTCTGAGCTGAGGAAGACTCCCCGGGGAAATGGATGCTGTATGTGGAAGAGACACCCAGCAGGTGGGAAGGCTATGCCCGCCTCACCTGGCCAATCGGACGTTGTCATTGTCATCTTTGCCCCACTCCCAGCCCTTTCCAGGGTCCACAGCAAAGTGCAAGGGCAGCAGCTTATGCTCTGAATCTGTAAGTGGGATCACAGCTGGGGAGGAAGAAACATGTCATCAAGGAGTCTCCTTAAGGAGAGAGGAAGGCAACTGAACGCAAACTGACTTCACTAAAGAGGAGGCTGGATCATATCACAGGTCTCGAACTGAGCTCACTCAGTTTTCACATGTGAATTACACTGGCATCAAAAACAGACAGACTGGTTTTCCCTTACTAGCCAACACACAATTTAGGCCACTAATCTCCATGACTCCCCCCCAGTCAGTCAACAAACACTCGTGATGTTCTTGCCGGTTAATGTGGATTCAAAAAATTCAAAGTCATTATTAAGACAAATACAGCAGGGGCGCCTGGGTGGCTCAGTCGCAAAGCATCACTTGGAAGGTTCTATGACCTTAATACACACACTCTTTACTCCAGAACAGGGAGAAGCAAATACAGGCAGGCTACTGTGTTCTTCCCCAAAGCTCTTTGTCAAAATGTATTTATTTTTAATTTAAACACCCTGGTGTATCTCTAGCTTAGTAAAACAGTATCAGTGTGCACTGTCTGGGCTTGCATGTCACTTAGTTCTTCCCTCCCACACTCTCTCCCATTTAAGTTTTTCCAAGTGAAAATAAAGCAGACCAACTGACACCAAAGACACCAACATCGCATTCAGCACCTTGTTCCTTGGCATTCTCCTTCTGCTCCATGGACACAAGTGCAGAAAAGTGGGCTTGATCGTAGGCGAGCACCAGAGGGGAGCGGTGACACTGGCTGGCTGGGACCTCCAAGGGCAGATAGATTCCCCCAAAGGGAATAGGGGCGAACGCTGCCGCAAACCACAAAGACTGTTATTCAGGATGTGTTCTTGCCTAGAGGGCAATCCCCACACCCCACTCTTCCAAGGGAGCTCCCCCCTTTTACTCACTCTAACCCCTAGTTAATCGTTCTATCTATCTATTTATTTATTTTAAAGATTTTATTTATTTACTTGACAGAGAGAGACATAGCAAGAGAGGGAACACAAGCAGGGGGAGCGGGAGAGGGAGAAGCAGGCTTTCTTAAGAAGCCTCATCAATTAACCCCAACTGCTTTGCTCTCAATCTCTTGAGAATTTTGCATGGTCCTAATGTATACCTTGTTTCTCCCCAAGGGTCCATATAGCCCCTTCCTTCCCTCCTCCCAGTGCTTAGCCCAAGGCTCTGCAAATAGAAGGTGCTCAGGGCAGCGAGGACTGACTCACCTTCCCCACCAGAGTCCCTCAGCATGGTGTCGGCCACGACGACTATGGGCCTCCTAAGCACATGGGCGAGGACAAAGACGTGGAATTCTTCTAGGCTCTCATATACAGGCTCCTCTGAACTCTCCACCCTAGAGTTGCAGAAGGGGAGAGAGTGGAAGGGGTGCCGCGGAGGGGAGAGGGAAGAAAACCAAACAAGACACCCCTGAAGACCAGTTCCACAAAGAGGAAAAAGAGGAATGTCCTTTCCTGGTTTTCTTTCCTTTCCTTTTTTTTTTTTTTAAGATTTTGTTTATTTATTTGACAGAGAGAGACACAGTCAGAGAGGGAACACAAACAGGGGGAGTGGGAGAGGGAGAGGCAGGCTTCCTGCTGAGCAGGGAGCCCGACGCGGGGCTCGATCCCAGGGATCATGATCCAAGCCGAAGGCAGACGCTCAACGACTGAGCCACCCAGACACCCCCTTTTCCTGGTTTTTTAATCTTAAAGCTGCCATGGACATAGCTGATTATTTTATGCTATGGTGGCTGTTTCTATTCCCGTTTCAGAGATGGGGAAATCCAAGAAAAGAGATTTGAAGGCCCTAAGGCTAAAATAGTGTTAGGAATCTGGAGGTAATCCCTCTGTTAAAACCAATCTTGCTCAATAGCCTTCCCCTATTTGCTTTATCCTGTAGCTCAGGACACAACTGTGTAGCCTCACTTTACCTACCACCACCCACACATCACATGCATCATGTCCTACAAAAAAAAAGAAAAAAAGAAAAATTCCTCTTCTTATGTTCCCTTACATGAAGAAGAGCATCTCACCCTCACCATATCTACCTAGTAGCCTAATCAGAAATCTGTGAAAGAGTTACTCTTCTTTATCTTTCATCTTAATTAATCACCTGGCTTGACTGATTCCATCTCTTACGTGTCTCTCTCGTATCTATCTCCTCCAGCCTGTCTGCAACCCACCCCTCTTGTTCACACCCGTGGCCTCTCTCCCGGATTACTACAACTGTACCCAGTCTCAATGCCCTCCACTTCATCACCCGCTCTGCTAGCAGTGTGTTCAAATACACGAATTTGCTCCGGTCACCAGCATACACACAATTCAGTGGCTTCCTGACCCCAACAGCAATGTTATTCAACACTGGGTACTTGGTACAAATGCAGATTTCTGGGCCATAGCTCAGTCCAACTCAACTGAACTTCCTTAGGGTGGAGGTCCCCAAATCTGCACTTTAAAAGCCTCCCAGATTATTCTTATGCACAATAAAGTCTGGACAGGTTATAATTTTTAACCTTATGTTACAGAAAATTTCAAAATTTTAAACATTCAAAACTAGAAAGAATATTATACCTAAACCCTCACGTATCCATCACCCAGCCTCAACAATTATAAAACACATGGTCAATGTTGTTTCACCTAGACCTTGATCTAGTTCCCTATTAGGCCCCACCCCCACCCCACCAGATTATTTTGAATCAAATCCTAGATATCATTTCATCCATAAATTTTTCAGTTTCTATCTCTAAAAACATGAAGGACTCCTGGGGCGCCTGGGTGGCTCAGTCCTTAAGCGTCTGCCTTTGGCTCAGGTCATGATCTCAGGGTCCTGGGATCGAGCCCCGCATCGGGCTCCCTGCTCGGCGAGAAACCTGCTTCTCCCTCTCCCACTCCCCCTGCTTGTGTTCCCTCTCTCGCTGTGTCTCTGTCAAATAAATAAAATCTTTAAAAAAATAAATAAATAAATAAAAAATAAAGGACTCCTTTTAAAAACAACCACACAACCATTAATATCACACTTTAAAAAAATTAACAATTAAACATGTAGACATTGTTCACGTTTCCCCAGCTGTCTCATAAATGTCCACACATTCCCACTGGTTGATTTGTGTAAGTGTCTTTAAACTTAGGTTCCCTCTCCCTTTATATTTTCCTTGCAATATATTTATTGAGAAAACCGAGTCATGTCCTACAATTTCTCAAAGTCTGGAAAGGATATGATTTTAATTCCTCAGCATGGTACAACAGAAACCTCAGCATGGCACACAAAACTCTGGTTATCCAGCCTCATCTAGCACTCTATACCATGTACTCGGTATTCTGGCAATGCCCAACTACTTATAGTTCCTAGAACGTACCATGCTGTTACACCCTTCTGTGCCCTTGCCACAGCCCCTCTTTCCTTCTAACATCCCCCTAGCAAGAAGTTCTTTGGACACTGAGGACTCAGTAAAGATTACTTCTTACCCCCAACCACGTTAGCCATACTCACCCACCACAGTTGGCTCCATTGGAACCTAGATGCATGCGGGGTTCACTCGAGGCAAGCTTGATCAGCTCATTCCATTCCTTCTGCCATTCATCCTCTGTGTACACGAGGCCTGACTGCGTGAAAGACAGGCAGGGGAGATCAAGCAGTTAGAGGCTAGGTTCACGAGGCAGCAGCTATTCAACTCACTCACAGTGCCCCACTCCCTATTCTCTTAGCACTTGGCTTACAACGTGTACTACAAAGTCAAATCTCTTCTCCCTTTCCTAGTCAAGGTTCACAAAAGAATAGTCTATGATCTCTCTTACACTTCTTTTTCTTCCATTCTTTTTCGGCCCACTTCAGTCCAGGCTACACCCCTTGCCCCACTTACACCACTTCACCTAACTGACTCTGGCAAAGGACAATGACCTTCTCTTTGGTTCTCGTCTTTTTTGGTCTTCAAGTAGCATTTCAACTCCTCATTAAACTTCCTTCTCCTTCCGCTTCTGCAACACTACTTTCTCCTATCTATCTCAACTCTGTCTACCCTAGAAGTATTGGTGTTGTGTCAATAATATTAGCAGCCTTGGTTCCTTCTGGGTGATCTCTTCTACTGCCATAATCTCATCTACTGCCATCTATATGCTCAGGATGCTAAAATCTCCCTCTCCATCCCAGACCTCCTCTTAATTTCTATATTCACATCCAGCTGCCTACTGAAGTTTGCCACCTGCCCATGACTACCTCAAACTCTATACAGTCAAAACCTGAACTCCTACCTCTTCCAAAACCCACTCTTCTTCCTATATTCCTGCCTTAGTGAATAGCACTGAGTATCACCCAAACACCCAAGCTAGAAACGAGGGACTTACTGAAGATTCCTCTTTTACCCACCCCACACCTGGATTCCTTAGTCAACAATTATTAAGCATGAACTACTGTAATGGACCCTTAACTGGTTTTACTACTTCCAGTCAAGCATTCCTCTGATCCATTTTCTACAATGTTACCAGAAAGATTTTTCTAAAATTAAAATCTGATCTTTGCTTCCTACTACAAATTATCTTAAGAACCATCATGACCTGGGGCGCCTGGGTGGCTCAGTCAGTTAAGCATCTGCCTTTAGCTCAGGTCATGATCTCAGGATCCTGGGATCGAGTCCTGCATTGGGCTCCCTACTCAGGGAGTCTGCTTTTCCCTCTGCCCACCCTGCCCCCGCCCTGCTCATGCTCGCTTGCTCTCTCAAATAAATAAAATCTATTAAAAAAAAAAAAAAAAAGAACCATCATGACCTATCAGATATAGTTCAAAATCCTTAAGTGTAGCATACAAAGTCCACTTTCTGGCCCCTACCCACCTCTCTAACACGTCATTTAATTAGCTGTAGTTCCTACAATGCACTGCGTTGCTTTGTACTTGAGCTTTTGTCTGGCTTGTTCCTTCTGCTTGGAGCAGCCCACTCCCTGTCCACCTGGTGAATAATTTCTCAACTGTCAGAAGACAACTCAAGTATGTTTTTTATGAAGCCTTTCCTGAATCTTCCTGGTAGACCCACTCTTTCCTTTGTGCCCTCTCTCCTCAACTGCCGTACAGACTCTATCACAGTTGGTACAGTTATGTATTTACATGTCCATCTCCTCCTCCTACTTGTAAGGGCCAGGACCGTGTTTCAGGCAATATGCTATAGTGCCTATGATGTGATCAGTAATTAATAAATACATGCTGAGTGAAACTATAACTTTTATCAAGGGGATTGGAGAAGTGGTACAAACAATTTAAAAATACCATTTGCTTTAGGATGTATATGATACTTTGGCAGACAAGTCTATGTTGTTAATTGTATTTGGTTTACATTAGTATTTAAATGAGCTTATACTGCTTAAACACACACTGACAGTAGAAAGAATCACACTGAAAATATGAGGGGCATGAGGAGCAAATTTAAGAAGAACTAAAGAGCTGTTTTAGCACATTTTACTTTATGGTTTTTTTTTAAGATTTTATTTATTTATTTGAGAGAGAGCATGAGCAGGGGGGAGGGGCAGAGGGAGGCAGATGCTTTACCAACTGAGCCACCCAGGTGCCCACATTTTACTTTAATAATAACAAAATGACAAAGTTATGTTCTCTTTGTAAAATGCTGTAACGAAGCTTCTCAATTAAAAATAAAAAGAACAATGCACAGGCAGTAATGTACTGACTGGGTGCTCTGGTCACTCTTGGCTTCCTCTCACCTATTTCAGCTTCCTGTTTTCATACATGCAGCCACTAGGTGGCGTACCCTGCCAGCCTGAAAATGTCCTTACTGGTTTGACTTTGTTGTTGTTGTTTATTCATTTAAACAATCTCTACACCCAAGGTGGAGCTCAAATTCATGACCCCCAGGTCAAGAGCCGCATGCTCTACCTACTGAGCCAGCCAGGCGCCCCATCCTTATTGGGCTTGATCACTAACTTCACAAAACAAGAAGGCCTGGGAAATCAAAACCAATTTAGTTCCTATGGAGTCTTGGTCCTGATTTAAAGAAAGCCCCCCAGTCCCTCATGCCTCCCTCCATTCCTATGCCTAAGGTGCAGCATAATGCTATAAATAGTCTCAACTAAAACAATTCTCTAGGCCACATTTCCAATAGGGAACTTTTAATGTGCTGGGCAAAAGGAATAAAATATTGCTCCTTTGATAGCCACTACTCTCTATGCATGTATTTCCACTGGGGACTTTGAGGGGGAACAGGTGGCTGACCAAGAACAGAACTTGGGTATTTCTGGGTCTCCTGGCTAAAGCCATAATAATCTAGCCCCACCTTTAAAACAACTACAATAGCTTAATAGCTAGAATTGGGCATACCTACTCTCTGTAGTTGTCACTTCTACTTAATAGCTGAATGCTCTAGTTCGGCCTTTTCTTGACTCTGGAGTGTCAGATGTAAGGTTCAGGGATGGGTGAATTCAATAGTGAGGAAGGCAAACTTTAGGCTGGCTCTAGCTTAAGCAAAAGAAGCTCTCCACAAGGTCCAGCTCAGCTCACCAAGGAGCCATGGGACTTGGCAGTAATAAAGAATGCCATTTACTTGGCCTTGCCCCTGTGCATTTATTTCCCTCAGGAATCCTCTGGGGCAGATTGGCTGATCAAAGACTCCATTCTGAGCTTAATACCATCCTAATTTTAACAATTGGGCTCTTTGTTTTTAAGAGAGAAACATGACACTTTCTACCTTCATATTTTAATCTTCAGGATATAAAATTTTAATAACTAAAAAAACCCTATTAGTTCTATATAATGGCCAGTTATGATAGAGCAATAAAAGGCAACAAGAAAGAAGATGGAAAGAAAAAGGAAAGTTTCTGAAGAGATAGTCCCATATTTATGCCAGAGCACCTAGCCATATACATGGCAAAAAAAACAGATATTCACAAAGAGCACAAGATAAACACAGAAGACAGAGAGAGAACCAGGGGAAAAGGAAAGAGGGAGACCTGTTATCTTTATGTAAGTGTACAGTGTCATTATTAAAGTGAGGGGTCGGCAAACTCTTTTATTGCTCCATCATAATTGCAGAGAGTAAATCTTTTAGGCTTTGGGGGCCATATGCAACTACTCTATTCCGCTGCTCTTCTATTCTACACAAGGAAAGCACTTAACATAAACAAACATACATAAATGAATGGGGAGGGCTGTGTTCCAATTAAACTTTTCTTTTTTTACAAAACTGTTGGTGGGATTTGTCCCACAGGCCATAGTTAGCTCAACCCCCGTTATGGGGATGGAAAGTACAAACAGTCCATTGTTACTTTCGTATACAAAAACAGTCTCAACATCTGCTGAACTCCTGAGAAGTACCATTCAAACTCAATTTAACAGGCATGTTTTTAAAATTTTTAAACAAATAAACCGAGTATATGAAAAGCAAATAGTACATACAGCCAACAACATTTTTAAGCATTTACATTTCTATAAGAATTGAAAACATAAGTCCTTAAAAACTGGTCTAGCCTTATTATAAGCAAAAAACCCCAAAACAATACAAAAATCCTGTGGACTTATCATATCTTATTTTGCAAAAGATTTCTACTGAAGACTTGGCGTCTATCAGGTAAGAAGCACAATGTTAGCTACCTCCTCTATGGGTCTCAGCTTCCCCATACTAGTTCTCATGACTGTATCAGAAAGGCATGGGCCCTGTGGTGTCTTCTGCATTTTCTACAATTTCTAGGATTACAAGGGGAGTACCACCAATTAAGCACCAGGAGACACTGCCTACTGGTACACACTGAGCATTTCCCGTAGCTAACTCTGGGGGACAAGGTGCTCCCACCCAAACTCCCTCACCTCTTTATTCTGCTGTGTTTGCTGCCACCTCCAGCGCCGCTTTAATGCTTCCTTCTCGGCCCCTTTCTCCATCAGCGCATACAAAGCTTTCCGCAGCATCAAGTCCCGATCATGGAAACCCCACATGCCTGTGGCAAGAAAACATACCAGTAGGACACCTTTATTAATTATGCTGCACATACCCTAGCATCAAGGAAATCAGGCTGAAGGCCAGGTTCAAACAAACCCCTGTGACTTAGGGGAGAGGTACTTAAAAATGAGAGAAAAGATGTTCCTCCTCTGGAGGTTCAGAAACTTCAAGAACTTAAAAGTGGGGGATCCACCACATCCTACAAACTCCTGACAGAAAGCCCCTTACTCGTATGCAAGTCTAACAAACTAATATACAGAGTAGCAGAAGAAAAGATGGGTCTGGCAAATGGCAATCAGCATTACAGCGAGAGGGATGGCTGGAATATGAGGACTTTTTTAAAATCGAAGGCAACTACGGGGTATTTACCCCAAAGATACAAATGTCGGGATCCGAAGGGGCCCGTGACCCCAATGTTTATAGCAGCCATGTCCACAATAGCCAAACTGCGGAAAGAGCCCAGATGTCCATTGGCAGATGAATGGATAAAGAAGATGTGGTATATATACACAATGGAATATCACGCAGCCATCAAAAACACTGAAATCCTGCCATTTGCAACAACGTGGGTGGAACTAGAGGGTATTATGCTAAGCGAAATAAATTAATCAGAGAAAGACAATTATCATATGATCTCACTGATATGTGGAATTTGAGAAACAAGACAGAGGATCATGGGGGAAGGGAGGGAAAAATGAAAGTAGACAAAACCAGAGAGGGAGAGAAACCATAAGAGACTCTTTTTCTTTTTTCTTTTTAAATTTTATTTTATTTAATTTTTATTCATGAGAGACAGAGGGAGAGAGAGGGGGGGAGAGAGAGAGAGAGAGAAGCAGAGGGAGAAGCAGGCTCCCAAGGAGCAGGGAGCCCGATGCGGGACTCGATCCCAGGACCCCGGGATCATGACCTGAGCCGAAGGCAGACACTTAACCATCTGAGCCACCCAGGCGCCCAGCCCCCATAAGAGACTCTTAATCTCAGGAAACAAACTGAGGGTTGCTGGAGGGGAGGGGCGGGGGAATGGGGTGGCTGGGTGATGGGCATTGGGGAGGGTATGTCTTATGGTGAGTGCTGTGAATTGTGTAAGGCTGATGAATCACAGACCTGTGCCCCTGAAACAAATAATACATTATATGCTAATAAAAATTAAAAATTAAAATAAAATCTAAGGCAAAAAACATACTGAATTATAAAATAAGTTTCATAATTAAACAAATCTCATAAAACTGATGAAAACATCTTTTCTATATACCAAAAGAATAAATATTAAGTAGAATGATATACACACATAGCTTTATCTTGCTTACATACTTGCTGCTCAATACTTCTGGGGGATAGCTCTCAGAGTGGGACCCGTGCTAAATCCTGTGTTCTCCATATTCTCTCTGAACAAGACTGAAAAGCCAGGGCAGGGCTCTCTTCCATCCCCTCTTGCATGCCCATGCCCATGCACGCACACACACACGCACACACACGCACACACGCTGTACGATCACTTCTGCCTAAGATCAAGGTTAGTGGATTAAGTCCTGCACATGAGATTTAATTCTATTGCTTCCTTTCTGAGGGTGCGGAACACCATTTTCAAGACTCACCCAGAGAGGCTGCATGCAGGAGGCAGTTTCCATCCCCAGTAGTTGCCAAAGGAAGCAGCCTCTGGCAGGTAGGGTCCACACTCACCCACCAGTTCAAACGCCCTACGGAAAAAGAAGGAAAAGGAGAGGAGCAGATTATCCATAAAGCCCTTCCCACTTCCGTAGCTCTAAAACAGACTCCAAACTTGCCTCCTCTAGGAAGCCTACCCAAAATACTGTCACTCCTTTTATCTTCTTCACTTATACCTAGTCGATCAGAACCTGGAGAGCATGATTGGTGAGATCAGCAGTTCTTACATGGGGACCACTGATCTAACAAACATCCAAGGGGACATTTGGCAATATCTAGACATATGTTTGGTTGTCACAACTGGTGGGGGGATGCTACTGGCATCTACTGGGTAGAGGCCAGAGAGATTGCTAAACATAATATAATGTACCAGGCAGCTCACACAACAAAGAATTATCTGGTCCTAAATGTCAACACTGCTGAGATTGAGCAACTCTGGGTTAGATGATGGGGTCAAGGTCATAGGCTGAAATCTGTGTTGGCTACTTGGTCTGGCTCTGATTCCTTCACTTTGCTCAGGAGACCAGTAAACATCGTAACAATGAAGCTCAGCACAAATCCATCATCAGTAAAAGAAAAACAACCCAAAGCATGTATTCATGTCACGTAAGTATCATCTGCATATATGACAGCATGTCAGCTTATATGTGGTATGACTTTAAAGACATGAGCAACAAGACAAAGCACATGAAACACCTTAGAAAATGAGTCTCGATTGTGTACAGTCATCCCACAATTGCTGATCCATTATTCACATGAGGAAAATATGTCATGAATCATGCTTAAAAGTTTTCTTGAATTACTGAAAACGCAACAGAAAGAAAACTGGCCTATAATCTCACTAGCCAGATAACTTGTTAACTTTTTAAAAAACTATAAATAGATGCACACAGTTACTATACAAGGGTACAAATGAAAAATGAAAGCTTCTTTCCCATGCCCCCACCTCCCAGCCCCCAGTCTTTCTTCTAAGTAAGTTTAATACCTGACTAGATTTCCCAGAATTCCCAGCAGCCTCGCCCACCATATTAACTAATTTTAACAGTAATTTAAGACAAACACAACTTTAAAGGTAAATAAATCTTCGGGGAAAGGCTCATATAAACAAATGGGACTTTTAAATTAATCGCCATTGTACATCATCTATAGTATTGGTTCTTTCTGGTCACAAGGGTGTTCCAGAGCCAATTATAACTCATTTGTACTTTTTTTGCCCCATGTATGGATTTTTAGGTATTGATTCCTGGGCCTTTCATGTGTATATCTGGTTTCCCTTCCATCAAACAAGAAATTTCCAGGGTAAAGTGTCAAATTTGTGTCCCGAAAAGAAGGACCTAGCTAGGTACATGTTGATCTGATTCTTGACTTTGCAGTCAGCTCCCACATTTAAACAGGAAGCTAACTGGTCAAGGCCAGCCCCTCCACGTGGCTGCCTGCAAGTGAAGAGCAGAGGGAAGAGCCCAGGAAAAGAAGCACTCACTGACCTGCCTGTTCCAAGGCAACCAGCATGGACTGTTCAATAAGGTCTCTCTCTATGAAGCTGCGGAAGTCTTCATTGTACACAGTGAGATCTGGAAGCTGGAAGGCACAGATGGGCATTTCCAGGGGGTGCTCACTGCTCCCCCCACCCCCACCATTGGAGGAGACATGGGACCGGGCCAGGGAAACAATGCTGGAGCTGGCGTGGGAGATGCCCCTAGACAGGCGTTTTTCTGCAATGAGAAATGGAGTTACCTTAGAACATACACAGCCCAGAGAACGATCCACTCATGTGGTGATGGTTACCTCTTGACATGGGTTACCTCTTCCAGGCAGGGAAAAACTGTGAGTCTCACTAGCTATCAAATTTCCCAACCCTCTTTCTCAATCCACACACAAGTGGAGAAATATAGAAAATAGTATTTTTGCAAGCACTTATATTAGCACCAAATATACATTCCTCTTTCTACCCTTTTTAAAAGAATTTGCCTGAACTGCTCCCCATGACTCTGTCTTCTTTTACTTCCCAACATAAAAGGGACTCATTCATTTGGCAACTTGGTCACTGTTTGGTAGGAAAAAGAGGGAATAAGGGAAATGGGGTTTCATTTGGCTAGGCTGAATCAAATAATCACTCTGATAATTTTCACAGTTTTGGAGAATAAAGGAAAGAATCTCCATTATAGAAAATTAATAATAATAGGGGCTCCTGGGTGGCTCAGTCGGTTAAGAGTCTGCCTTTGGCTCAGTTCATGATCCCAGGATCCTGGGATGGAGCCCCGCATCGGGCTCCCTGCTCAGCAGGGAGTCTGCTTCTCCCTCTCCCTCTGCCTCTGCCTCTCTCTCTCTCTCTGTCTCTCATGAATAAACAGATAAAATCTTAAAAAAAATGATAAATCTTACACATCTGGAAACTTTCTTACCTACCATCAATAACGTTTTATTACACTATTTACAACTTTTCTGGATTCATATTTATCAGAAAGCATAGGTACAGTCATTCTCACTTAACATGCCAGAGAAAGACAGTAATGTAGACAGTGCCTCAAATTATTTTTTTTTAAGATTTTATTTGTCAGAGAGAGAGAGGGAACCCAAGCGGGGGAAGCGGCAGGGAGAGGAAGAAGCAGGCTTCCTGCTGAGCAAGGAGCCCGATGCAGGACTCAATCCCAGGACCCTGGGATCACGACCTGAGCCGAAGGCAGACGCTTAACCGACTGAGCTACCCAGGTGTCCCTATTTCATTTGCTTTGGTTACATGGTACTTAAAATTCCCCAGCAGATAGTCTGTGATCATAATCTGCTCAGTGTCATATTACAATTCATTTGCATGACTTCAGTTTATATATAAAGAGTATCAAAAGCTAAAAATTATATTGGGAAGTAGTTCTTAATCCAATACTTGTCAGAGATGACATACAAAGTCAAGATTTGTCTAAAGTTATTTTATAGTGATGGTATTTCTTAAACTATTTTTTTTAGGTATTTAAAAAGTATTATAAGCCCATGGTAAAAAATCAAAATACTATCAAAAGATGTACAGTATTACAAATAAATCTCCCCCTTATTCAAAATTTCTGATTCCTTCTCTAGAGGCAACCTTTTGGATCCTTCTAGAATTTTTTATGCACATAGAAACACATATAGCTTTGGGCGCCTGGGTGACTCAGTCAGTTAAGCAACTGACTCTTGGTTTCAACTCAGGGTCATGGTGATCTCAGGTCATGAGATAGAGCCCCGCATAGGGCTCTACGCTTACAGTGAAGTCTGCTTGAGACTCTCTCCCTCTTCCTCTGCCCCTCCCCCTGCTCTCTCTCTCTCTAAAATAAATAAACTTAAAAAAAAAGTAGCACTTATAGCTTTTGAAATCATTTTTAAAAACATAAACAAGAACATACTATATAAACTGTACTGCATCTTACCTTTCTCAATGTATTTTAGAGACTTAAAAAACAGCACATCAAGTTCTACCTAATTCTTTCCAATGGCTGCAGAGTATTCCACAACATAAATGATTTTAATTTATTTAGCTGCTCCTCTACTAATTGTTGTTTTCAAGCTTTAACTTTCAAGCTTTATGCTGCATATGCGTATGTGTCCACTTACGTCTATTTATTTAAAGGATGTATATATATATACACCCACGTGCACATACACATATATGATAAATTCCTAGAAATCAAACTGCTAAGTCAGAGTATACATGCATTTTAAAATTTTGATACATACTGACAAATATTAACCGACGAGGTCGATGGCAGTGATCCTTTGAATTCTACCTTTATGTACTTTATCTCAACAACTAGATTGTTCTCCTTCATCCATTTCTCTCCCAGTATCTGAAAAAGGCCTTCGTACAGGGGAATACTCAAGATGCAGTGGGACAGTGTGGGGCTCCCGCACCAAGACAGACTGAGGCCACCTCTGATCAGTCTGTCATGGGAGCAGGGGGAGAGCCAGGATCATCTCCAAAGGATGACTCCATTTAGCAGTCCCCTCCCTTCCTTTGTACTCCACCTACAGAAACACCCCTCAGTTACCCCAGTACCTTGAACGATGTCATCCTGCCGCTGCAGGGTGGGTCGGGGAGGGCGGGCAGACTCTCTATCCGAAAACCCCTTTTCAGGGGTCCTGGAGCCACCACTCCCTTCACTAAAGGGTGGGGGCAGGTTCCCAGCATGGACTTGACGTAGCTGTTCAAAATCACTGAGGGCGGCACTCACGTCCCAATTCTTTCCTGGCAGGAGACAAAGCAGAGAGTGAAATGGGTACTCAGAGTACAGGGAAACTGAGGAAAGACACAGAACAATCACTCGAACCATCCTCTCAAAACTAGCAAGGAAAATTCATGCATACTTCCACCATTCTCCTGTTCCTTATTGCGCTTAATTTTCTTCAATAACACTTCAGTCTGCAATACCACAATTTCTTTATTTACTTGTCCATTTCCTAAGTCGGCTCTGTGAACATTGAAACTTTGTGTCTCTGAAATGAAAGGGCCCACAGAGACCACAGATAAAACAAAGGAAGCCTAAAGAAGTAGAGTGACTCGCCCAAAGGCACAGCCAGTTTGCACCAAGGAAAAGTGTGACTAAAGCCCAGGTCTCTGAATTCTGATATCCAGAGCGTTCTTAGCCTAGACATGCTCTGCAATGTCCTAAACCATCCGAAACTGTATACAAAGGTATAAGTATGTGCATTTTTCTAAAGAAAAAGAGCTGATAGCTGTCCTCAGATTACCAAAAGGAACGGTTAACTGCCGCCAAATTTAAGAATCACTACTCTACTGAAGAAAAGACCCTAAATGCTAGATTTGTCAAAATGGATTTTTCTGTGGCTTTCTCCAGTTATATTATTCAATAAATATTTCTTTCTATTCTATTCCACCTGCTACCCCCTTAATTCAATTCCTATCACCCACTATCCCACCTCCAATCCACTCTAAAGTATCCCATGAGATTAAGCTTTCCAAAGCACAGTTTGGATCATTTCAGTTCCAGAATCAAAACCGCTAATTGCTTGCCACTGCCTACAGAATAAATCCTAGGCTCCTGTGTCTCACGTTCAAGGCTTTCTACGACCTGGCCTACTTTTCCAGCCTTTTCTCTGTGCTTCAATCTCCCTGGCTATCAAAGTGGAGATGACTCCATGTAGGACTGTTATGAAGAGCAAATGAATTAAAAGCACTGGGACACAGAAAGTTGTATATATGTATTTATTGCTGTTGCTGTCATACGTTATTACTCTAATTTTCCAGTTAAGCTGTATGAATCATTAATACCCGATGAATTTACTTCTGAGCCATTACATTTGCCATTTGTCCCAGCTCCCTTTGCTCACACTGCTTCAGTGAGTCTGGCCTCTTTGCAGTCCCTACAAACATGCTAGGACTGCTCCTACCTATGGCCTTTCCAACAACTCTCCCCGCTGCCTGGAAGGCTCTCTCCCTAATTTATCTACACTCCTTCAGATATTTGTTCAAATGTCACATTCTTAATAAGGCCTGCCTTAACTACCCAAAGAAAAATCACAACCTACCCATCATTTCCCATAACACTTCACACCTTAACATATACTTTACAATGATTTGGTTATCATGGTTATTATTTATTGACTGTTTTTCCTGCTAGAACGTAAGGGCAGGGATTTTTGCTTGTTTTGTTTTGTTCGAGCACCTAGAACTTGGCACATAGTAGGTACTCAATAAATATTTGTTGAGGAATGAAGGACTTTTGTCCTGACTCAACAAATGAATGAATGAATGTTTACCACACAGTTGGAAATACAGAACACCATACTGAACACTGGCTCTGTATTTCCTTAAAATCAGGTCCTAAGAGCGAACTTGTCCAAAACTGAATGCCCATCATCCTCCTTCCGGAGACTTGCTACATCTCCTCCTTCTATATTCCTCAAACTGATAATGGTATCACAAGCCCTCCAGGCCAGAAAATTCCGTCACCTTCACTACTCAGATCCAACTCCTCCGCCCTCACTATCTAGTCAATATTTGCACTCATGAAACATCTCTCCAATCTGTTCTTTCTTGTCCATTTTTATTGTCACTGTGCCCATGCAGATCCTCATGATTGTCCCCTGGGCTCTGGGAGAGGCTCGGCTAGTTTCTCTTCCCCTAACATGTCCCCTCTCAAATTTGTTCTTTACACTATGAGCCAAAGTTAACTTTTAAAGGAAAAAGCAAGAGAGAAAGACAGAAGCAGGGAGAAAATGAAGATCAGGCCCTTTGATTTCCCTTCTAAATTCTATCTTAAATCCATCCAATTTTCTCTCTTCTGCCACCACAGCAGTTCAAGCCATCACCATCTCTCACCTCAACCGTGGCAACAGTCTTAACTGGGTTGATCACTTCTCTGGCCACCTTCCAATCTGTTCCATAGCCTTCAACCAAAATTCAAATCCAATCACGTCACTCCCTGATTACAACCCTTCACCAGCTTCCCACTGAACACAGAATGACATTTAAACTCCTCACCACAGTCTACAAAGGGCCCCCTTATTCTGCTTCCTGCCTTTCTACCTATTTCCTACTCTTACCCCACTCTTCCTACCCAGTGCCAAACTCTCTTTCACCTTAGGTCCTTGTATAAGTTTCTATATCAACACTCTCTTCTCGATCCCTTTTGTCTTGCTACTCCCACGTACCTTTCTGGGTTCAGTTCAAAGGTCACTTTCTTAGAAAGGCCTTTCTGCACCCTGTATCTAAATTGGGTTTCTCTCTTACACTTCCATAGTGCCCTCAACCTTTCCTTCATAGCAGAGAAGTGTGTGCACGTCTGTGTGTGAGAGAAAGAGATTACACAAATATTAATTGTAACATAATTGTTAAGAGCCAGCCTCTGAAACCAGATTGCTTGAGTTCAAATCCCATTTAACTTCTCTGAACCTCAGTTTTTAAAACTGTAAAAGTGGGATAATAAAACTTATATTGTAGAGTGCTTGTAAGAATAAAATAATGTCTCTCAAGTACTTCACACATACAGCATTCAACACATGCTACAAGAGGAAGAGGAAGCATTTGAGCTGAATCCTGAAGGATGAGGAGGAGAATCTCAGGAGAATAATGGAGGAAGGGACACTGCAGACTTAGAAAACAACTTAATGTGACCAGGGAAAGGTGATGAGTTGGGCCAGGCTGAAGCATAAGAAGGAGAAGGTAGTAGGAAATAAAACCAAAAATGCCAGTCAAGGGTAGAGTCATGCTGAATTAGCAAACTGGAGTCCAAACCCAGATCTTTCATTTCCTAAGTAAGAGGTAGAAGCAAATGTCAAGTTGTCACACCCTGCTAAGGGCTGACAATCTAAAACATTAGAATGTACGCTAAGAACCTGCCCCTTTCTCCTCAGGCTTACCCATTTGTGTCATTATATATTTCTATCAACAAAAAACATCTGTTACTTATGACTCCAAACAAAGCATCCTACTGACATGATTCTAAGCTGTAAGGACCTTAAAATATAGAACGTTCACACTTATGTGTACATACAGACATAAGTAAACAAAGGCAGCAAAATAAAAACATTAACTTAATTCCCTCTACATAGAATCACCTATACAAATTAGGGAAGGAAAGAAACAAAACCATGAATGATCCCAAAGTCATTTATATATAAAGACGACGACTTACAGATCTAGAATTGTGCTTTTAGTGGATTAATATAAAAGTTCACTTGCATTACCTGAGCATAAATTCACAGTGGAGAAAGCTACACCAAAAATTCAAGGTGAAAAGGGGATTTTGCATTTTAAAATTATGGTGAGTCATACAGAGGTGGATTATTAGAAGCGAGCGAGGTAAATATAAGGTCTGCCATACACGAAGTATCTTTAAATGTTCCAAGTCATCCTAACAATAAACATCGCATTTTACTTTCTCTCTTCTTATTTTCCCCCTTGTGACTCCTTACCTTCCAGGAGATCTCGGGCCAGCCCAGGCTCTGCGCCTGTGGAACGGACAAAATCTGACAGGACAGCATCCATGTCCAGGGTCATGTGCTCATTAAGTACTTTCAGGCAGCTGAGGTAGGGTGGACATAGATCAAAATTCAGGCCTCCACCTGAGGAGGAAATAAACACATAGGGCTCAAATTACACTGAAATAGGATGATCACAGCCCAATTTCAGCAGCTTCCTAAACAAAAGGGGAAACTATCCCGGCTCATTCATTTCAGCTGAATTTATTATGAAGAGCAACATTAGTTTCCTAATTCCTCATTAACTTCTTAACTACTAAATTAATCATAAAGTCTAATGTCACTCTGAATAATGCTTTTCTTCTACCTTTCTACACTATTCCATTTCTATCCATCAGTTTGCTTATTCAAGCTAATGGAAGAAAGCAGCAGACTACCACCCTGAAGAATTCCCCCACCTTGTTTCTTTCCTTCCTGGCACTTGATATAACCTGAAATTATTTTAATAGGTTGCTGTCTAGCCTCCTCCTTTAATATGTAAGTTTCTTGAAAGCCGAGTGCTTGTGTGTCTTGTTCACTAATGTGTCCTCAGCGTGTATCACTTGGCACAGTGCGTGGCATACAGGCCCTCAGGAAATATTTGCGGAATGAATGGGTAAATGAACAAATGAGCACTATACACTGAATAACTTTAGAGTTGACTAGTGTTCTGAGGCTAGCTGAGGACATGGAAGGAGCAAGCTGATAGTGAAAACTACTCAAAATAAAACAATAAGCTATTATGCAAAGCAGAGTGGAGATCTCAAAGGTACACAAAAGTCAATTTTTGTCCACTAATTTCACGAACCCAGGAAACAAGCCTTTCTCCACCGCGGACAAATGAGCCAAATAAGTTTACCTGAAAAAGATCTCTTCTTTCAGACTTGACTTTGGCAGAAACTCTGTCCCTGACCTGATAGCCTGGCACCAATCCGCATTCCTCTAAAGTTAGCAGTCCCAGCCGAGGAAGCAATAACAGAGTGAAGAATAATCTCTAACCAAATTCTACACACTAGACAGGTCTACAGTTCTCTGGAGAAGAGGGCTTGTTCCTAAAGTAACCATAACACACCTGCCCTACCACACCCATCAATCCCTTGCCTTTTTGGGAAGGCCAAAAGTAGAATTCTCAAAGGTAAAAGGTGACTCAGGTGACTCTCTGCAGAAACATCTCCTTAAACAACCTAAAGTCTAAGGGTGACTCAGATACCTTTTCTTCAAACCTCCCCCAATGCCAGGACACAGCTTGTTTAGTGGTATGATCAGATCCTGATTTTCTGCATTCCTTAGAAATATTAAGGCAAATAAACAGCAATGATTTGTGGGTCATAAAACCAGGAAGTCACTAACTTGACTGCAGGGGCGTGTTTTATTCATATTTGTAGCCCAACACCTAGCACCTAGCACAGCACCTACAATATCGTAGGCAGTCAATAAATGCCTGATGAGTAAATAATTAAATGACTAAGTGAACCTCCACACCAGCCACCGCCAAACCAATCCATTTTCGGCTTAACTTAATAAATGAGAAATTCCAGGGTCCTTTGTACTTCCTATCACCCCTCTATTTCTAAGAGTCTGCCCTGGTCCCAATCCACCTCTCCAAGTTTCAGAAACTCTCTTTTCTGAAGAGACATCATCCGTACTGTCACTAGTTCTGCCACCCTCGTACCATATGATTTTACCTACACCTATATATGTTAGCTGGGTGGCTTTGGTCAAATTACTTACAGGGTTTCAGTTGCCTCTTGTTTATCCTAGACTTGCATTCGATGACCTCTAAGATCCTTTCCAGGTTTAAAAACTGAACTTCTCCAGTTCACTATAGCCTCATAAACCATGATCCTGACATTCTCTTTTAGTCTATGTATTACCAATGTCTAATTTCCTTCCATTTTTCAATATCCCAATTGTCAGAAAAGGCTGCCAATACATAAGGAACTTTTGGCCTAACATACCTCAAGTTCAAAATGTCAAGTTATCAAATAAATTAGTTTCTTACATTTTATACTTAAGAATTAAATTCCTTCAGAATTCATAATGAATAAGTGGTTTCTCCCTCCCCTAATAAAGACAAGAATTTCTTCTCCAAGCCCATTTTAGTCATTGTCTTAGAGGTCACAAGAGATGGTTGCAGCCCAAATAACTTGAAAGCATGACTAATCCAAAACCAAGAGCATAGCTGCAAAATGAATTTCAATCTTCTCTCTTAAAAAAAAAAAATATTCAAAGGAACTTAGTAAAGCCACTTTAATAACTTTCTGAAAGACTGTGGGAGATATACAGTAAGCACACACATAGCAATCAGCAAAAAGATGCTCAGCCGAAGAGAGAAGAGTTGATTATGCCGTAGGCATGTAGGCCATTTCCCAGCCAGACATAGGCTCCCGTGGCTGAGAAGCCAATAAAAACCATCAATGTCATGGCATCATAGATCTCATTTGCCAACACAGTAGGTCATTCTTTTCAAAAGATTATTTTTGAGAAGTAATTTAGAGATCCAACATTATCTAGAACGACTTGCCAAAAAATTCAAAGCACTTAACCAAGCATCTTGGCAGCACATTCTTGTATTTGATGCCTCCAGGTGCAGGCCACAGACTCCACCCTAACCCCACCCAACAGGGGAGGACAGTAGCTTTTGTTACATCACCACCAACACCTGGCTTGAGCTTCTCAAATTCCAAATGGGAAATATCCACAACATGGACTAAAACACACAGTCCTTGGCTCTGTCTCAGCACACAGGAAGAAAAAAAAAGAAAATACTGGCTTTCAAACTTTCATATTTTTTTGTTTGATTGGTTGGGTTTTTTTTGGCTTTCAAACTTTCAAACAAAACAGAGGAGGCACTCAAACATCTGTTGATTGAACGGTGTTTAGACAAATCTCAATTGGGGTCAATACCCTCCAGTCCTCCAACTGGACAAGACATTAGTGATTACTTAGTCCAGTGTCTGCCCCCCTGCAGAAATCCTTCTATTACATCTCTGACAGGGAAATCACCCAGTCTCTGCATGGATGGATACAAGCTTTGATGGAAAACTCATTCCTTTGCCACGATGTCTTATTGTTGGACAGATCTAATCATTAGAAAACACTTTTCTAAATTAAATCACCAGCCCACCTCCCTCTATAACTTCCACATAATGGCCTGTGTTCTCTTCTCCAGAACAATAAAATCCACACCCAAGAATGATGGCATTTTCACAAAGATTAGAGAAAGCATTTCTTCATATAAAAATGTGTTTACAAAGAAACAAATAAGGCTTGAAAAGTTGGGTAGGTTGCCCAAAGTCTGAACCCAGAGTATTTTGGACACATGCCCCACTGCACCATACTGCTTCCCAAGGCACTAGGGCATTACTGAACCCCAAAACAGCACTGATTCTTACCTACTGAATCCTTTCACACAGGAAAGGGCTGTGCCTATCTCTTCTATTTATTAAAGACACCTGCCTTATATCACCCTCACTTTAAATCCTACCATTTTCCTCAGCAATTTCAACCACCACCTACACAACCCATCCAATGTTTCTGCCGTAAGAGCTTCATAATCTCTTTTTTTTTTAAGATTTTATTTATTTATTTGAGAGAAAGAGAATGAGAGAGAGAGAGCATGAGAGGGAAGAGGGTCAGAGGGAAGAGAAGCAGACTCCCTGCCGAGCAGAGAGCCCAATGCGGAACTCGATCCTGGGACTCCAGGATCATGACCTGAGATGAAGGCAGTCGCTTAACCAACTGAGCCACCCAGGCGCCCAGAGCTTCATAATTTCATCAAATGCTCCACCATCTCAGTCCTGAACACTGCCATCTCCTAAAACTACTCCACCTCTATATTTTCAACATCCAAAATCTTACTCTGGCTACAATCTCATCTTCCTTCCAGCTTTCCCTCTCTACTACTAAACCTGCTCTCCTACCTCAAGGTATCCTCACCTCAGATTAAGTCATCCAATTCCTTAACCACCTTATTCACTAATGCAACAAAAATCATGGAGTGCCTACTACGTGTTAGGTGCGCTACGTTCAGGATTAGAAACACAACAGTGAACTAGACAGACACAATTTTTATCCTCATGAAGATTCCAGTCTGGAGAAAAAACCCCACAAAATTTCACAGAAAATTGTAATAAAGAAATGCTGGAGAGATGGGTGTTATCTCCTACAGGGTGTCAGAAAAAACTTTCCCAAGGAAGTGATAATATATCTAAGGACCAAAGAATGAGTAGGAATTGGAGGGACAAACTGGGAAAGAAAGAATGCTCCAAGCAGAGGAAACACATATCAACATTCTGTGGCAGGAAGAAACATAGAGGTGAGAATAGTACAAAATGAGGATTAAGAGGCGGCCTGGTGGACCCTGCTAAACATTGAGATTTTATCCTTAAAGTAATGAAAAGCCATTGATGGGCCATAAGTAGGGGCAGGACATGATCAGATCTGAAATAGTAAAAGATCCCCCTGGTTGTAGTGAGAAGGGTGTGGAAGGAGCACAAGTGGAAATTACTGCAAAGACATGATGGTGAGCTGGACTAGGATGACAGCAGTAACGACTGAGAAAAAAAAGAGGTGGATAGATGCCACTTTGTCCCTTCTTGCCTAAATGAATGAGAACCCAATGACTGATCATTTATTTTCTAGTAAAAACCTAGTTCTGCTATTCTTCTATTTCATCTGCCCAACCTAGATGGCTCCCACATTCAACTTCTCTGCTACTACCTGGGGCCATTGAGCAAGATAAGATCACATAACCATGCATAGCAACCCAACTACAAGTAAATGACATTACATTCAATGAAACATGGCTATTTTCTGCTTGACTTTGGGACAAGTCAACCAATCTTCTCAGCTACTATCCTACACCTCCACCATTCTCCTACCCAATCCTTATCACTCTCCTTACTCCTGACACATGACCTTGCCTCCAACCTCACAGAAAAAATTATGACACAAAGCAAGAGGAGTTCCTTCAGGTTTCCTCCCCTGTCCCTACCTACCAGCTGCTCTTCTCCTCCACCCTGCAAAACTCCCTAAAATCAACATGCACTGATGCTTTCTCACCTTAGATGCAGTGCTCATCCTATCAAAATGTGCTTCTACTG